TTTTATGTTTTATTATTTTTTAAATTTGGAATAATACCATTTTTTACCGTTTTATTTGAAATATGAAATAAAAAATTTTTTGAAATCAAATTTATTTACTTAATTTATTCTTGTTCAGCGCTTTTTCTACTATCATTATTTTTTAATTAATTTAGAAGAGTGAAAATTTTGATAGTAAAATTGAGCTTTTATGATAGATGCAGACAAAGTGGTCCATCAACCGATCAGTATCCGATGGTTTGTAGTGGTAAACAATCCGGTTACGCTCCAATACCAGCTGAACTGTCACCGCCAATGATGCGTGAATCATCGCGACAGAACGCCGGTCCGTTCTTTCACAATCGGATAAATCAACTTGACGGCTATCAACCGATCAAAGGTGCTGTGATACCAAATGGAAATAACATGGCGAGTAATGTCAAAGGTAATTGTGCATCATCTATCAATAGTAGGAAGAAAGAATTTAAGGAATGGTATGTTTAGCTCTGATCTGATCTGATCTAGTCAAGATATCACTGCTATTTTTTGCGATCAATTAATTCCATTTTTTTTTTTTTTGAAATTGAATTTCATCTTCAAAATTCTTGTATCCTTTTTCGAAATGAAGAAAAAAAAATGGTGTCATAGAACTAAAAATATGATTGTTGTACTTTTTTGAGATAATTATTCCATTTATTCCTTGTGATCATTGTTTGTAGACATATGCCATACGTAAAATATTATTGCCTAGAAGAATGATTGTTATAAATTACACGTATGCCGCGTGATCTCTCATAAACCAATGCCTGGAATTATCTATAATTGACAGCAATGATTTTGAGGAATATCTAATTTTTGAAATTTAAATCCTTCCGAATAATTTTTATTGACTATATAACATTTCGTTTTTCTCGTAAAATTTCTAATCTTTTCAAAATTTTCTCAATTTGGCACATTTTTGAAACGTGCTGTCAGATGTCATTGTGCTTTTTTTAATTTTTATTTACTCATTTTTCTTCCATATCATTATCAGTTTTCCTTCTTTTTTTACAATATTTTTAATGCATTTAAATTAATTTTATTTTATCTAATAATTTTATTTTATTTTGTTTGCTTTTTTTCTCCATGCTTTATTTCTCAAGCATAAAATTAATTCACACTTTTTCTTACAAATAATTTCTGTTTTTAACATCCATTGAAAAAAAAACTGTAATCTTTTAAATTGTAACGAAAACAGTCAATGTATCAAAAAAGTAAAATTTTCATATCTTTGATTTTTTTCCAATTTTATCAACTCGATTTTTTTATTTCAACTCTATAAAAGTATGGAAATAATTTCATCTATCTTATCAGTGGCCCAACTAGTTCTGCAATCTGAAATATGTAAAATTGTACTGCACTTGAAATGAGAATAATTTTGCTCTCTTTTAATTTATTCAAATTTTTCCAAATGTGAAACTTTGTTCAGATCTCAATCATTCAACATTGAATGTATTATTGTTTTATCTCTCATCATATATTACATTCTAGAAGTTCTCCTTCTCTCTCTCTCTCTCTCAGAGTTGTGATTTTTTTTTTCTTTTCTGTTTGATAAGTTAAGATTGATCAATTTTAACTCTTGGCTGCAACACATTTTGCAAAATGAACAAAGAAGTGATGATGGAAGTGCAATTGATGCTGAGGATGTGATTTCGAAATTTTGTTAATTGCGAACAGTAATGCTTGCCAGAATGTATAATTCATATTCTGCCAAATATTGGTCACTTCAAATGAATAATTGTTCAATACCTTAATTTTCTTCGTTTTGTAATAGTTTAATGAATTTCTTAAATGCAATAAATAAAATATGCTTAACAAATGTAGATCCATGATAACAAGTACGCTAATTATTGACCACTTATAATCAGTTGATCTTTTTAGCAAAAATTTATCACAATTTATGCTAGCAAATATTTCAAAAAAAAAACAAAAATTTATCTTTGTTTTTTAATTTTATTAGAATGATAAGTCTTTTTTTATATAATTAGGTCTTTTAATATAAAAAAGAATTGCTGGTTATTTTTTGAAATTTATTTTTCAATGCTGAATTTTGCATAATTTATAAGTCGATAAAAACAGGTGTTAAAGCTGACTGTTTCGAACATTTCTCGATTTCAAAGTAGAATTCGAAGAGTTTATTTTTATTAGAAAGTATAACTTTACTTCTTGTAAAAAGCGCTAGACTGATCCAATAAACTAATATTGGATTCTAAAAGATATGTGTTTCAAGATTAATTACAAATTGAAATTTTTAATCTCTTCTGTAAAGCTCATCAAGCTCAAAATAATCTGCTAAAATTAATCATAAATCAATGATTGGATTGATAAAGATAGATGGTATTCGTATTTCGAGAGGTCAAACAAGGTTGATTTTTAAATGACTGTGAAATGAAATTTTCTAAAACGAATAAATGTCCGATTCAATGCGAGAATGTTCAAAATCAATACTGCTAAAGAAGATCTCAGAATCGAGCCGTCGTTTCTCACGTATCGATGCAATAATTCACTTGAAATTAATTATTGGAAATGAATAATTTATTTTGAAATGTTAAATTTTCTCGGTTATTCTATGGATTATTGAAACAAATGAAATTTTGTTTTGTTTTTTTTTTTAAAGCAAAACTAATTGGATGAGCTATCTGTGTTATTCGTCTAAAGTAGTAAATGCAAAATAAACAAAATGCATGGCAAAACAATTTGATGCATTCCTCTTCCATTCTCTCTCATTCTCTCCTTTCACCTTTCTCTCTCTGCCAGAGAAAGATGCTTATAAAATCAATAATGGATTGATCAAGGTTGAAACAAAGAATGAATTGATAGTTATTATTATTTCACTTGGATAGAACTAACCAATGGTTTATTTAGAAATTTAATTCAAGTTCAATTATAAATTTTCAAACGGATCGAATGTGATAACCACAAAAGTGCACTTTCCATTTAGAAAATTTTCATTTTACTAATTTTATTCATTGTATATTTTTAGATAAAAATGATATGCTTCATAGTTTTTTGGAAGGGTCAAAGTTCGATCAGTTTAGGTTAACAGTTGCTCCTCAACAAGCTATCAGAAAAATTAAAAAATCGATCCAAATATTTCGTAGGATGATAATTGTATTTTCTTTCACTAACTATTATAGATTCAGCTATCACAAATTGCATATCATACAAAACCATCCATTATGCTGTAACTGATACTATCATTATTATCATTACTATTATCATTTGATATCATTGTAGCATAATCGATTTGAAAAATTAAGCAGTATGTAACTGAAATAGCTAAGCCAAAAGGCTTTAAATAATAAATTCAAAATGGTGAGAATGAAGGAAAAAGAATGAGATGAAGGAGGAAGAGGAGCAGGAAGGGGAAGAGGAAGTGGTGGAGGAGGAGGAAGGGGAAGAGGTGGAGGAAGAAGAGGTGGAGGAAGAGGAAATGGTGGAGGAAGAGGTGGAGGAAGAAGAAGAGGTGGAGGAAGA